AAGATATCAAACCTAACAACTGCAAAACCTTAAATTGCGGTAAAATTCAGGGGGGCATGTCCCCCTGAAACCCCGCACCACTTTTTATTAGGTCAGGGGGACAAGCCCCCCTGAAAACCCCCTACTCTTGGGGCCAAAACCGGCGAATAACAATTGCGGGGTGGGAACTACAGAAAAAGCACCCAGAATTCTACTGTGATGTTTAACAGAAGTATAAAATTTGGCAAGCGCTATTAGCAACGCCGCGTTCTGAATAGCTCCCGTGCTATTTGAAACGCCAGTACTAGATCTAGAATCTAGATCTAATGTAGTAGCCATCGTTTCTACATGATAACATTGTAGTTCTGCCTGAATTGTGGAAGCTTTCTCAGTTTTTTTATAAAACCTCCTAGGATTTGACTCCTTTTTTTATGACGTTGTATTGTCTTATTCCGATCAATATTGGGTAGATCTAGATCTAGAAAAATCTAGATCTAGATTAGATCTAACAATTTTTTCTGACATTGTTTGCACAAAAGTAGACGTCTTGTTCATCTCTCATAATCATATCTGAGTTAGAGTTTGAGCAAGTAAGTCGAAAGACGCTTGGATACAATAACATGACGGTGCAACTCAAACTTTAAGTTAGGCCTAGAGAACGTATACATACAAGCTGTCTACTGTCTACGTTCTCTAAGTCTAATGTTCAGTGCTTCCAAGTGTGGCATCGAATCCCGGTCCCAAAAGGTTGTTTTTTTTCCTTCTCCTGAGCCTTAAATGTTTTTGTTTTTTTAAATTAGACCAGGGCTGCCTACCTCAAAGTTCCCATTTCAGGTAGATTCAGGGTCATTTTCAGGTAGATTGGCCCAAAATCAGGTAGTACAAAGACAAAGAAGAAAAAAAAAGATGATCGTTGCCCCACCGAACGAGCTTGCTTTCCGTGATATTGGGTAATTATATTTTGAAATCTTCTTTGTGCATGCACATGTGTGTGTGTGTGTGTGTGTGTGTGTGTGTGTGTGTGTGTGTGTGTGTGTTGCCATGCTCTCGCATGTGCCTATATATGTGCGTGGGGAAGGAAGGGGGTGTATGGGTGTGCACAAGTTACGATGAACAGTGTGTGTATGAAATGAGGCGAGGTTGGTTTGTTTTTTTAAAATCATTTTATGGACTATCGTTCAAGGCATCTATCATTCAGTATTGAATCTGGAATTGAGTGCAGGGTGATTGCCAAACTGACTTCAAAACCCCTAGCCCATACAAATAGAAACTAAATTAAAACATAATTTTCCCGACACTAGCATAGGACACCGATAAGTCCTTCATGACTTAGGAGGTATGACAGACAATTTATTTTAACTAGTTTTACCCTAAAAATACAACATGAATCCTGATCTGGGCCTGAGGAGGCAAGAAGAACATCAACTGCCAAAACCATGTTTGGTTCCAGCAATCAGGGATTTTAAAAGGTATGCATGACAAAACTTATAAAACCTTTATAGTTAGGCTCCCGGCAGAGCAAAAAGTGAAAATAAAAGAGAGCGTGTATCAATAGAGCCGGAGCTGGAAGGACTGTGAGAGTGTGTGGTGTAGTGATGCTGAAAACCTGGCAATCAGTGAATCACTGCATCATGGACTAAGCATTTTTTTTTTCAAAATGCTAAATCACAGTACCAGTATTTAATCAGGAACAAGCCATCATGATGCACAGGCATCCAACATTGAGCTTTCCGAGGGTTGAAAATGGCATTTTCTTATTGCCACTATTCAATTTGTCATCACTGACAAATCCGACAAATCCGGGAACACCAACCTTGAAGATACAATCATCAAGCCTGTGCTCTAATGTTCCCTCATTTACGTACTTGATTGTCGAATGTCAAAACCATTTCCACTTATCGTTTTTCATCAGTTTCTTGCACCGCGGCCTTTTCCTGCTGCCGTAGATTTTTTTTGCGTCAGACACATCCCCTCCATTCCGATGCCCTTCAACACTCCTACTTTGAATGAACTTTGATTAGGCTTTCCCCAACAACCACCGAGCGGTCCCTTGCTCATGCCGTACTCACGAACTCTCACAGGTTCATTAACCGGTCACGATGACGGGCCCGACAATCTAGAAATTGGAGGACGCGTGTTTTCTTTTTCTCTCCTTTTTTTTTGTTATTATAGTGACATCAGTGAGAATATCGATTTAACTTTTATGGCTACACTGTGTTTTTTACGCACAAACTGCAGGTTACAGTTACAAATTTTTATTAACTGTAAATCTAACGTCAACGAACTATCATCGGACAATTCTGAGCGGTAACGAAAGCGAAAGTAGATTTTGATTTTCCCGATGGAGTCTTGGTATTACACCTACAGTTCCGATTGCCGCCACAGCCGCTCATTCACGCGAAACGTACTCTCAGACTGGGGAAAGCCGAAAGTACTACAAACGCGACCAGTAAAATATGAACTCAGAAGGCTTTTCAGATTTGGTTTCGAAGACTTTGTGCATTTTCTCGGGTCCCGGGTAATAAACTCCCGCAGTCCACCTGCGTAGAATCCTTATTTGGTACTGATCAATTCTCTAAACCATGACAGATTTTAGAATGTTTTGCTTCGATACCGATTTTCCTTCTAAATTCACAATTCTTTTTTCTGGATAAATGAATTAAATGCACAGATTTTCCAGCCGCAGCAAAAAACTGAAGATAGACAGAAAGAAAGAATGAATGAAAAGAAGGAGGAAGATTATCTATCGTGAGTAGACAGATTTCAGCCGATATGCACGTGAAAAACTATTGCCGACCGAACGGCACAGATAGACAATGGCCCAGTGTACGAAATGCGCAATTGGCAGTTTCTAATACAACTTATTGCCGAGAGTTGCCGCAAATATCTGACAAGTTATGGAGGCAAGTGCTGATCTCTCTCTCTCAACGCATGGCATTGATACGATGATGCAGCAAGTAGGGAACTTTCGGAATGTACGGATTTCCGTAAAAACAAAGAATGGAAGCACAGCAGAATGTTATTTTTTTTAAAAACTATCTTGGCACCCATCGAAAATCCGGTAGTTTTGACACCTTATCGGTATGTCGGTAGAACAGGCCCAAAATCGGTATCTACCGGAAAAATCGGTAGATTTAGGCAGCCCTGTTAGACTCACGGACCACAAGGAAAGCCACTACTGAACTTTAACCAGGCCTAAATTGGTAAAAAACTATTGTCACCCGCCCGGAAGTTCTCGCAAGATCAACTCCTCCCCTCTTCTCTCTCTCTCTGTCTCTTTCTGAATACTGTCTATCGGTGTGGACGATCAAATTGACCAAAACAAAGTTAAAAAATGATTTTAAAACACAAAAGTAAATTAATTTGGTTGTCTACAAAGATGCTACGGCTATTTAACTTTTCTAATCGAGCCGAACTACGCGGGTCGCCATTTTGTTTTGCCCGGAAATTCTCGCGCTACTCCTCTCTCTCTTTCTCTCCACTGCCCACAGACAAAATTGTACGCTTTTAGTAGGCTACAGTTGTATGGAACGTTTGTTCACTGCACAGAATTCTACAATTTTTCTGTTATCACAGTGTAGAATTCTGTGGTTTAGGGTGAACGCAAAATTTGGTGAACGCGCACCGGGTGAGAATAGCCACAAGACTCGCCTGTACTATTCTCCCTCCGGGTGAGAATAGAGGTGGCCCTATACAAAGGCTTACTTTGTACAGAGCTCCTCTTGGGGACAAAACCAGAATGTGTATGCTTCATCACTAGATCTACATAAAAAACAACTACAAAGCAACAAGATATATATAATTATGTGAACAATTTGTTGGTCGGCCACCTCTATTCTCACCCGGGATGAGAATAGTGCAGGCGAGTCTTTTGGCTATTCTCACCCGGTGCGCGTTCACCGTTATAGCCTAGATCTAGGCCAACAAATTTTGCGTTCACCCTAAACCACAGAATTCTACACTGCGATAACAGAAACATTGTAGAATTCTGTGCCGTGAACAAACGTTCCATTACAACTGTAGCCTAGCCTACTAAAAGCGTACAATTTTGTCTGTGGGCAGTGGAGAGAGAGAAAGACAGAGAGAGAGGAGTAGCGCGAGAACTTCCGGTCAAAACAAAATGGCGACCCGCGTAGTTCGGCTCGATTCGAAAAGTTAAATAGCTGTAGCATCTTTGTAGACAACCAAATTAGCTTACTTTTGTGCTATTACGTAATTTTTTCTTGGCTTTTATCAATTGGATCATCCACACCGATAGACAGTATTCCAAAATGAGGAAAAGCAGGTCTTGTTTCGCACCGGGTGAGAATAGCCTACGCTGGCAATTCTCACCCGGGGTGAGAGGTAGATCGTTTTTCTATTCTCACCCCGGATGATTTAGCCACTTCCTTGTTGGTCAGTCGAGAAGAGGACAACAACAACAACAACAAAAACAAGAAAAAACAAACCGTCCAGGACCGGGATCGAACCCACGCTAAACAAATAATGATTTGACTTTAACTTTAAGCGCAGACGCGCTGTCACTTCAGCCATCATCAGAACTTCCGATAATGATGTGCAGATTAAGCTTGATATTTTACACACGGCAACACAGCGTTGTATTTAGCACTGGCGCTAATCGCAACGCGGCGTTTTATTTAGCACTGGCCGCTAATCGCAATGCCAATGCGGCGTTTTATTTAGCACTGGCGCTAATCGCAAGGCGGCGTTGCAAATTTTAATTATCAATAGACTGTTAATAGGCACTTCCATTTAAAATTTGGCTATTTTTTTGTGCCGTGAACAGACGTTCCAGCGCTCTTGTGTTGAAAATGTGCAATTTTGTCTGTGACGTCTGTGGGCAGTGAGAGAGAGAGAGAGAGAGAGAGAGAGAGAGAGAGAGAGAGAGAGAGAGAGAGAGAAAGAGAGAGCTTTCGGGCCAACAAACAAAATGGCAAAGGCAAAGCGCGCAGTTCGGCTCAATTCGAAAATGAGACGGGAGGGAAAGTAAAGATAGTAGATTCATAACATTCATTTTCAACCTGTTTGTGCTTTTTAACAAAGGTTCCTGGACGCGATGACGTGATGAAGGTATACTCTTGCCGTTGGGTCAGTGCTGTTCACTCCTCCACACACACACACAACTACCAACAAATGCCAACAATACAACGCTCAACATCAACACACTACACACACAGACCTTTCGCATCTCATGGCACTGAAAAGGGAGAGTTCCGTTTAAAGGGCTATAACCCAAGATTCCAGATGGAGTCAAAGAGGTTATAAATTAGAGCTAGAGGTTTTAGCTGTGACGTCATGAGTATCAAACTGGAGGGGCGCGCCGCCATTCTGGAGAGGAATATAATAGACTTCTAAGGCCAGTTGGTGCACAGCAACACTTTTTAATCACGAATTAACGATACTCTGCGAAGTCTTTTGATGTTGATTTCTTTTTAATGTTATTTGCCTATCCCTAAATTGTACTCATAGGGATTTTGGGGATTGTTTGCCTTTAAATGAGCCAGATAATCTCCAAATAATGCAAATTGGACCTTTTACACGGTGAGACCATATGGGAGAGTGAAATTCAGAAGAAAAAAATGAATGAGATGAACGGGATGATCTCTTGTTAAAGCAAAAACCGAAATTTTATTAAAATCGTTTGCTGTGCATTGCTCAAACAGTATAGGCCCTATGTATAGATTTAGTACCGCTGACCACAACAAAAGGTGCTCGTATATCAGCCCTCTGGAATCAGGAATGTGACTGAGAAGCCGCTAGAAGCTTCAGCGGCAACTCTAGCACACCTGCAAGGCTGACTGAACCAGTGGCGGTGGGTAGACCAAAATTTGGATGGGGCGTAGGTTGCTTCCAGTTCTTTACCACCAAATAGCAAGGAATAAGAATTAAACAGTGATTATTTTTCTATACTCACGGTGAGCCACGGCAGTTTGAGAACCATTCAAACGAGAAAGAGTTGCCTTTGTTTTCAATCTCTTTGTTCTTAATCAAATTCTTGTTGATGGTGGGGACGAAGCCGATTCACCTCCAAATTTCCTCTAATCAGTTTCCGTATGATGAAAAAGTACCTTACAAGTAGTTCGACCTGATTTATAACTGTTAAATCTCAGGGGCACAAACACAAACATGCACATACAGCACTTCAAACATAATACTTTTATGAGCTGGATTAGGCCGTGTAGTTGAGAAAGTTGAACGCACCCAACAAAGAACCAATATATGAGCGCATAGGTATCTGTGTCAGTGGGGGAAAGTGTGTAGTTAACTTTCATCCCATTGTCAGGGCTAGGAGAGCGTGAGCCCCCAGTACAGTGTTATTTTTTCCCAGTCTTCTACCTTTTTACAAGAAGAGTTTCATTAAGGACGGGCTGTGAGAAAAGGGCTCATCTTTGCTGAGCCCTAAAAACATTTGATTGGCTGCAGCTGGGTTACTATAGTTGTAAGCGGTGACAACAGTGATTGGATAAGCGAGCAAGCCGCCAAGTTGATCACTCTGTGTTCATTGCGTGCGGTCATAACGGTTTCAACTGCTTATTTCATTATGGGGAAACTTTCCTTTACTTTGGGATAGAGTTGGAGGTGGTGGGTGGGGAGAGGGTAGGGGCTCAAGCCCGTGAGCCCTTCACTACCCATCGCCACTGGGTCACTGAACGGAAAAGAACCACTGTCGATGTTGTTGAGATGAGAGAAAAATATAAAGTAGCCAACTACCCACCAATAAGACCCACGTTATATAATTGAGTCTGATTCTGGAACCGATGCCAAACAGCGTGTGCAACAGCAGCGGCAGGGGTTCATGGAAGGTGGATTGTTGTGTAGCCAAACACCATTGCCAATCAACGCCTATTTTAGAAAATATTGTGAATGTTTAAGATATACCGGCTATTTATCTAAGCTTTGTTGCCAGTAGGCCTATATAACAATTATTTGTGCCATCTAGGCTATTAAACAATGCTCTTCGGGTGTGCGCATAGGATCCATACAAGGAGTGATTTACAGTATCCCAGCCCAGCCTACAATTAATTTCTCATTTTGAGACAGTAACGAATTAGTATATTAAATAATTTAACCCAGTCTTAATCCCCTCCATACTCTATGAAGTCCTAGGTTTTGGATCAGTAGAAGGAGAGGGTAGACATACATGACATAAAAGCAATCCATTTTGTAATATGAAATTGTCCTTTTTTTAACATACTCAATTACTCACTTTGTCTCCCTACGCCCCTCCCCCACCCCACCCGGGAAAAACAATACTTCACAGTATATCTCTCCGTTTATTTGAAGTCCACATTTAGGCGCATTTATGTTTCCTACAATCGGTCAGCAGGGGCGGTATTGTTTATGCGTGTATGTTATACTACAAAACAACAACAGCAAATAAAAAGAAAACTTAAAATAAAACTTAACTAAACTTTAAACTCTATGAAGACCTAGGCGTTGCGAGGGACGCGCAGGGTGACAACGCTGTTTAAAGTTTAAATCCTCTCAAAATGGCGACAAAGCGAACTGAGTGGGCCCGCATAGCCATAGTGAGTTACGTGACTCTAGTACTATTATAACCTCTTTGAAAATGGGCAAAGAGGTTATAATGACTTAAATATTCGGTATGGATGTTTTATCCCAAAGAGAGTGAGAGATACGCTGCTATTTTTCAGTAGCCTACTAAATGAGCAGTAATATTTCACAAAACGGGGCTTTTTTTTGGTTTGGGGGGGGGGGGGGGGGGGAGGGAAAGTGCTACAAATGAGAGAGAGAGAGAGAGAGAGAGAGAGAGAGAGAGAGAGAGAGAGAGATGTAGGGGGGGGGGGGGGGGTCGCCCCCGTGACTTAATATAGATCTAGACGTCTGCAACCTAACATGAACCAACGATGGAAGCATTACAGGATTGGCACAACCAGCGCGGGACACTGATGGAGCCTGGCCTTGGTCACGCTACAAACTGCAACAGATTGTACATGGCGGGTCCTTGGATATCATGAAAGCGACCACTTGCCATGCACAGCTCTTGTCAAGCGTAGGAAACCCGCCAAAACCCTCAAGAAGACAAAGGAAAAAGACCCTATCAGCAGTCTAAGCTAAGGAAGAACGCAATCGCAGTATCGGGAGGATGAAGCAGGAAGAGATCACCCATCCGCCATGGTGGAATGATGAGCTGAACAATGTGGAGACCAAAAAGGAAGGCGTTACAAGCATACCAGCGAAGCCGAGAAAACCCAGACCCATAAAGAGCAGAGAATGAGGAAGCTTCACGGCTATTCAAGGTCGTGGCGAAAGAGGCTAAGGAAGCTATCATTTATGAAAAGGAAAATGAATTGCTTTGAGGAGTATTGTAATGGAGACTGTCTGTAAAACTGGAAAAGACTAATATGACTGGGTTTTATTTTTATGGAGAAGTGATAATAAAGCACTCTAAAAGAGGGAATGGGAGAGAGGGAAGGGGAACGGGGGAGAGAAAGAAAGAGGGAGAGACAGACGGACAGAGATAGATAGATAGATAGATAGATAGATAGATAGATAGATAGATAGATAGATAGATAGATAGATAAATAGAGAGAGAGAGAGAGAGAGAGAGAGAGAGAGAGGGGGGGGGGAGAGAGAGAGAGAGAGAGAGAGAGAGAGAGGGGGGGGAGAGAGGGAGAGATGAATAGGGAGAGAGAAAAAAAGAAAGAGAGAGAGAGTGAGGGAGAGAGAGTGAGAGTGAGATACATGTAGATAGATTGATGAATAGATAGCTATATAGATTCGATATATATATATATATATATATATATAAAGAGAGAGAGAGAGAGAGAGAGAGAGAGAGAGAGAGAGAGAGAGAGAGAGAGAGAGAGAGATAACATGATGCGTGTCAGGTGGACACCGGTCATCCCTGTGTACTATGGCCTCTAAGGTCAGTGTCTTGTCAACAGACCACTCTTGTAGAGCCAGAAGAGGTCCAATCCTGGAGCTCGAGTTCGGAGGAATGCTTGCCTGCCTTGTCTTCAGAGCCACTACAGCTTGACAAGCCGTGCATGGAGGACGCTGTAGGACGCTCAAGTGTGCTTCTTTATTGTTCGAAACTGGCACAGACTGACCATTCCAGCGAAGCTGTAACGGTGAACGTGATTTACCATTAGCTTAGAATCAACCCTCCGCTTTCCCCCTCCCTGTTCTCTCCCATCCCTTGTGTCCCCCTCCTCACGCCCACACAGTCCCTTCGTCTTCTCCTGTTTAGCTTTTTGAGTTGTTTGAAACTGCTTCTTTGACCTTTCTGCAATCAAACATTCTGACTCTTGTTATTCTCCATGCCTGAATTGTTTAAAGGAGGGGGGTTACACCTGAAGGCGATCTCGCTTATTACTGGACTGAATTTTACCAAGTTTCACACATATAACAAGCATAGTAAGGAGTCTTAAAATCCGCAATCAAATTTGAGAAAAAAAGTTTCGTTTCCACGGATACAGCGGCCATATTGGATTTTGTTGACATGTCTTACGTAATTAATACCGCACTTATCGCTTATGGGAATTGATTGCTTTTTTTGCATGCATGTTTACAAACATTAGGTCTAAAAATATTTCTGTTGTTTTTTTCTTAAACGAATTAGAAAATTTTTAATGAATTTTTTCCTGAGGTAGCAGTCAAGTTTGCAAAAAATCCTTGAAAATCCACACTCCAGACACCACCAACAAAAATCTGTTTCATATATCAAAAATTCAACAGACGAATTTTTAATATTACATCTTCTCTTCATTCTGTGAAAATTTCATGAAGATTGAATGACAAATGGTGGAGTTATTTTTAAAAAGTATAGAGAAAAGTCGCGTTTTGAGAAAACGGCCGATAAAGAAAAATAAAATATTGACTTTATGGGGAAATGGCGGGGACAAACATGCCCGGTATGGGAAAAATACGGTTTTTGGGGGTTCTTATGCTATGAAATAGTTGTAGGAAAGGCTGAGGAAGCTAAGAATGCCTACAACTCAAATTCCATAATTTTGAGCCGAATTTTGACTTTCGGGGTGTAGCCCCCCCTCCCCCCCCCCCCCCCCCCCAAAACCCCCAATTAATTCAATACCATGTTTCTGAGCGCAACTACCATCTTCTGTTAAGCAAACCCTTCCTTTCTTGCATTTTACCCTTGCTTTTAGAATATCTTTCTAGGATAAATCATTCTATTTGATATGTTCAAAATAGTTTAGGTTCATTGTCATTATGCTCTGATGGAGTAATTTGTGTTTCTATACCTAGTTTCCTTCATACTCCTTTAGTTTCTGTCTTCAGTATTTTCTCAAAAGTCTTCTGTAACATTTATTCTTTTCGAAAGCTGCAATCTTTTATTTGTCCTGTCTCTTGATGGTCGTAAATACAATACTTTTTAGGATTCTGTTTTTTCTTCTATCATTGCGATGTGCTTTTCAAATGAAATTTATCATTTTCAATTTCTATGATGCAGTTTTAATTCTTTAGAATTGTGTGATCATTCTATTCAATCCTGGCACAGTCGTATTTAAAATTGCTTTCTTGCTATGTCTTTCTCACAATTCTAAAATCTTCTTTGCATTTTCTTACGTCTGTTATTTCGCTTTTCTTTCCATTTAGATACATTTTAATTCCGTTTCGGTCACAGTATTCGTTGACAAAATCTTATTAAAGTCTCTCGTTCTCTCGAGCTTTATGAAAATCTCGCTCCAACCACAATGTTTGCAACAATATTCAAGTTCAAACAATGATGTACTTTACATAGACCAGGTAAGGTTTCGTTTTAATTGCTTAGTTTAGGCTCTTGATGGTCTGATTGCTCTGACTGTTCTTATCATAATTTTTTTATATCCAGCTCTAAACGTATCAACGCAACTTCGGTTGATAAACAACTATCTTTTACTTCATTTGTCTACAAATATCTCTTTTTGATAACTCAAGGTAAAGTTAACAAAGATATAAAATTTGGCTTTCTTTGGGGTCACTTCAAGAGATGATGGTGTGAACCAAATCCATGCTTTTTTTGGCAAATGCTTGTGAAAGTAGAATTACATGTATTGAGCTGACAATATAAATACAAACTGTACGTACAGTGACCTTTAGTGTTTTCTCCTCAGCCTGCACAAATTGTTTTTGTTTTTATCCTAGTTTTTGGTTTGTTATTACCGCAACGGTTTCATTAGGTATCAGGCATGGAACAACATTTCAGAACAATAAAATATGGTCTTTTTTTCTAAACTTATAAAAGCATTTTTCTATTTTTCCTTCCACAACTCAAAACGGCCCCTCCCCCACCCCTCACCCCCACCCCTCTAAGCCGGAAGTGCTGGGCCTCACTGTGGCACAAGGGTGTGCCTGACGCAGTCTTCAAATCATAAGGCTCGCTA